GAGACCCAGAGTCCTCCTGAGTCAAGGGACAGGACTCAAGTCGGGCCTGTCCCCCTACAGGGGGGTTTTCGAGGAAAAATTAAAAGCAGTCAAAAGATATTCAAAAATGGTCAAAAATGCTGAAAAAATCGTCCACTGACTATTTTTTACTATTTTTGAACATTCCTCCTGTAGAGGGACGTGCCCGACTTAGACCAGGACGGGGCCAACATGCCGATCCCACAGGCACGGAGCTTGGAGAGGCGCGCGCCACCGCGCAGGCAGCCCAACTCGTGGCAGGACCGCGCTGCCCCCCTGGAGTGCACGGAGGCACCAGCCAGAAGCCTGCCTGGAGCGCCCGATAGTGCCTGCCAGGACGAGTCCTCGGAGCGCCCGACTCCTCGGTGCGCACAAGGGCACTTTGGATGACCAAGAAAACAGCATAAGCAGAAGCTCTCGGACGTCCGCGCAGATTGCTTGGATCCGCGCTGGAGCACCCTGGCGCGCTCAGAGAGGAGAGGATCGGAAGGCAGAAGGCATGGGTCGCGAACACACAGGATACGAGGGTACCTACTGATCAAACTCGACTTTACGCTGCTTCGCCATCGGGGACGCCTGCCCCAGGGCGGCTGGGAAGTCTAAGCCCCTATGGAGGCCAGATGTGTGACTCCCCCCCAGAAAGAGAGGGCAGAGGGGGGAGGCTCGAGTCAAGCAGTGTTCACCGTTTTCGCTTTGTTTTCGTCATTCCTCTTTCTGTCTTCGTTCCGCCTGTGCTGCAAAACGAATACAAGACGAAAGAAGGGCTCGAAATGTCCAAAACGCCGCTTAGCTCGAGCCCTGGACAGATGGGGGGCTCCTGCCGCGCGCCCTGTAGCTCCCCAGACGCGTCCGGCCCAACCAGCTGCAGCTCCCCCGCCACGCGGTACTGCTCCGAGGAGGCCGGGAACCACCAGACCAACTGGGGGCCGCTGCTCCTCCTCCGCCTCCTCCTCCTCCTCCTCCTCCTCCTCCGCCTCCTCCTCCTCCTCCTCCTCGACTCATCTCCCTGTCTCCTCCTCCTCTTCGTCCTCTTCCTTATCCTCCTCCTCCTCCTCCTCCTCCTCCTCCTCCTCCGCCTCCTCCTCCTCCTCCTCCTCCTCCTCCTCCTCCTCCGCCTCCTCCGCCCTCCTCCTCCTCCTCTCTCCTCCTCCTACTCCTCCTCCTCCTCCGCATCCGCCTCCTCCTCCCCTCTCCCCTCCTCTCCTCCTCTCGCTCCGCTCCCTCATCTCCTCCTCCTCCCTCCTCCTCTCCTCCTCCTCTACTCCTCCTCCTCTCCTCCGCCTCTCCTCCTCCTCCTCCTCCTCCTCCTCCTCCTTCTCTCCTCCTCCGCCTCCTCTATCTCCTCCTCCTCCTCCTCCTCCTCCTCCTCCTCCTCCTCCTCCTCCTCCTCCTCCTATTCCTCCTCTTTTTCTTATGAGTAGTATTACTAGTGTTAGTCTGATTAGTTGTCGTCTTATTATTATGAATAAGATTCGGAATTATTCTCATTATTCATGGAATCCTTAGTATTCGCATTCATATTAGTATGTTTAGTATTAGTATAAGTATTAGTATTAGTATTAGTATTAGTAGTAGTATCAGTATTAGTACTAGTAATAGTATTAGTATTAGTATTAGTATTAGTATTAGTATTAGTATTAGTATTAGTATTAGTATTAGTATTAGTATTAGTATTAGTATTAGTACTAGTATTAGTACTAGTATTAGTATTAGTATTAGTATTAGTATTAGTATTAGTATTAGTATTAGTATTAGTAACAGTATTAGTATTAGTATTAGTATCAATATAAATGTTGGCATTCGTATTCGCATTCGCATTCGTATTCGTATTAGTATTAGTATTAGTATTAGTATTAATATTAGTATGAGTATGAGTATTCGTATTAGTATCAGTATTAGTAATAGTATTAGTATTAGTATTAGTATTAGTATTAGTAGTAGTAGTAGTATTAGTATTAGTATTAGTATTAGTATTAGTATTAGTAGTAGAATTAGTATTAGTATTAGTATTAGTATTAGTATTAGTATCAGTATTAGTATTAGTATTAGTGTTAGTAATAGTTATAGTATTAGTAGTAGTATTAGCAGTAGCAGTAGTCATATTGCTAAAATTAGTAGTAGTGTTCGTAAAAAATATTAATAGTAGTATTCGTATTAGTATTAGTAGTATTAGTAGTAGTAGTATTAGTATAAGTATTAGTATTAGTATTAGTATTAGTATTAGTATTAGTATTAGTATTAGTATTAGTATGAGTATGAGTATGAGTGTGAGTATGAGTACGATTATGAGTATGAGTATGAGTATGAGTACGAGTATGAGTATGAGCACGAGTATGAGTATGAGTATTAGTGTTAGTATTCGTATGACTATTAGTGTTAGTATTAGTAGTAGTATTAGTACTAGTATTAGTATTAGTATTAGTATTTGTATCAGTATTAGTATTAGTATTAGTATTAGTATTAGTAGCAGTATTAGTATTAGTATTAGTATTAGTATTAGTATTAGTATTAGTATTAGTATTAGTATTAGTATTAGTATTAGAATTAGTATTAGTATTAGTATTAGTATTAGTATTAGTATTAGTATTAGTATTAGTATTAGTATTAGTATTAGTATTAGTATTAGTATTAGTACTAGTATTAGTATTAGTATTAGTATTAGTGTTAGTACTAGTACTAGTACTAGTATTAGTATTAGCATTAGTATTAGTAGTAGTAGTATTAGTATTAGCATTAGTATTAGTGTTAGTATTAGTATTAGTATCAGTATTAGTATTAGTACGAGTAATAGTATTAGGAATTACTATTAGTATGATTATTAGTATTAGCATTCGTATTCGTATTAGTATTAGTACTAGTTTTAGTATTAGTATTAGTATTAGTAGTAGTATTAGTATTAGTATTAGTATTAGTATTAGTATTAGTATTAGTATTAGTATTAGTATTAGTATTAGTATTAGTATTAGTATTAGTATTAGTGTTAGTACTAGTATTAGTGTTAGTGTCAGTAATAGTATTAGTATCAGTATTAGTATTAGTATTAGTAGTAGTAGTAGTAATAGTAGTAGTAGTAGTATTCGTATTCGTATTAGTATTATTAGTAGTAGTATTAGCATATGTATAAGTATTAGAATTAGTATTAGTATTTAGTATTAGTATGAGTATTAGAATTCGGGTTAGTATTAGTATTAGTACTAGTATTCGTATAAGTAATAGTATTAGCATTAGCATTCGTATTCGCATTAGTATTAGTATGAGTATTGAGTATTAGTATTAGTGTTAGGGTTAGTAGTAGTATTAGTATTAGTATTAGTATTATTATGAATTAGCATTACTATTAGTATTATTACACGTATTAGTATTCGTATTAGTCCTAGTACTAGTACTAGTATTAGTACTAGTATCAGTATTAGTCTTATTAGTACTAGTATTATTGGTATTCTTAGTAATAGTAGTATTAATGATATTCATGTTCCTGATATTAGTATTGTTATTAGTAGTAGTATCAATATTAGTGTTACTATCAGTCTTAATACTAGTATTGGTATTAGTATCATTAACATGCTTCTTCTTATTATTATTAGTATTAGCATTATTATTTTTTATTCATGTTATTATTAGTATTATTATCATCATCATCCTCCTCCTCCTCCCTCCTCCTCCTCCTCCTCCTCCTCCACCTCCTCCTCCTCCTCCTCCTCCTCCGCCTCCTCCTCCTCCTTCTCCTCCGCCTCCTCCTTCTCCTCCTGTCCGTAGCCATTTGGGTTCAAGCCATTTTAGATCAAGTCCACACTGTGAGGCTCAGGACGCGAGTGATTGGCAAGGGGAGAGACGGCGCCCGCGCGCAAGTCCTCACCGCTCCCGCGGGCGGAGACGGGCCAATCGATACAGGACATATTGGGGCAGCTCTGCGAGCGGCTCGGCCAAGAAGGCGCGGGCTCTGAGCAGTTCAAGGCACCCAAGAATACGCGGCGATGGGTCCTCCCCAGGAGCAACTCCTCGAAGCGACTGTTTCAGCCAACCGGGTGGCCTGCCGCCGACCACAGGCCGACCTCGAGGCATTGGTCGCGCGTAAATCAGAAGCGTAGGTATGGTATAAAGAAGGCAAAGAGGCCAACATCCGCCGATCTGATATTGTTCGACGCGTGGCCCCGAGAGATCCCGACACCCTCCCTGGGCCCAAGTTATCGCCTTTAGTACGTTTTTGATGGTCCCAGGGCCCAGTTAGTGGCCGCAAGGGCCGAAAAGGAGGAAAAACGCCCAGATTGAAAAAGTCATATCATCCGAGATCTGAGTTTGGCAATACCTGACAGGTCCCCTCCAGGTGAGCCCAGAATCGAATCGATAACTCGTATCGGTGACCGAAACTAATCGAATAAGCGGAAGTCGGCAGCCAAATCGGGAGAAGTCGAATCGGCCGAAATCGGCCGGGTAGTAAGGCCTCCATTGAGAAACCAAAATCCGAATCGGAATCTTAAGGCGAATCGAATCAGAATCGCAATCAATCGACCGAAATCGAATCGAATCAATTCGGAGGAAAAGAAATGTTCCCTGACAGGTCCCCTCCGACAACGTGACCCGGCGCAGCCGCAAGCACGAGGGGCGCGCAAGCGAGCCACCTCGCAAGCCGGCGAGCGCTGCACATGGCCCACCTTCTCGCTCCGGGCGTCGGTGATCATGCGCATGGCCTGGCGTAGGCGATCGACGTTTCATCCTTACCATTGCCAACGCCAGAACTCCACGAGGGGGCGGAGAGGGGGCATGGATGAAATCAAGCATCTGGAGGCCAAGTTCTTTTGTCCATGCCCTGCCCCCCTGGCGGCCACAGTTGGGGGCTTCAGCAGGGGTATGGGTCGAATATCAATCCCCAATGGCGCACCCTGGGCTCCCTCCCTCTGAGCAGACCAAGACCCCCCAAAAAAAACTCCGACAAAATGATGTCAACCGTACTGCTTTTCTTCGATTTGGGCGGGATTGTTCCCATCTCTCGCGCACCGCAAAATTCAATCCGTATCTTCCAGCGCGCCAAAGTGGGGGGTCACTGGGGAGCTCTGCGACGAAGCACTCCCCGAGTGGCCACCGAATCGTCGAAAAAGCGCTTTCTGGCGCCACTGGCAGTGGGGGGAAGGGGGTTCCAACCACCCCCCGAGGGGGCGGGGAGGGGGGTCGGGAACCGCCCCCCCCCCCAGAAGAAGGAGGGGGGGAATGCAAACTCCCCCCCCTCCCTCCCCTCCCCGAGCCCTCCCAGGGAGGAATCGAACCCCCCCCCCAGGACCCCGCCGGCAGCCGCCGCCGCCGCCGCCGCCGCCGACGACGACGACGACGACGTCGACGACGACGACGACGACGACAAATCACATTCTTGCGCCAAAACCACCCCCCAGGCCCCCCCGGAGGGGTTCGAACCACCCCACCTACACCCCCCTACTATAGCCGCCGGCAGCCGCCGCCGCCGCCGCCGCCGCCGACAACGACGACGACGACGACGACGACGACGACGACGACGACGACGACGACGACGACGACGACGACGACGACGACGACGACGACGACGACGACGACCGACCACGACGACGACACATTCTTGCGCCAGGGGGGGGGTTCGAACCCCCCCCCTCCCTAGGCCTCCCCGGGAGGTTTCGAACACCCTCCCCCTTACTCGCCGCTGGCAAACGACGACGACGACGACGACGACGACGACGACGACGACGACGACGACGACGACGGCGGCGGCGGCGGCGGCGACGGCGACGGCGACGGCGACGACGACGACGACGACGACGACGACGACGACCGACGACCGACGACCGACGACGACGACGACGTCGTCGCAGATCTGCGCCGGCGCCCGTCCACCCGCGTTGGAGAAGAGAGAGGAGGGAGAGGAGTAGCGGGGGAGGAGGAGGAACAGCAGCGGGAGGGGGCGGTGGTTCAGGGGTGGGAACGGCAGTGGGCGAGAAAAAGCAGAGAAGAGGGGGAGAAGGAGAAGGAGAAGGAGGAGGAGGAGGAGGAGGAGGAGGAGGAGGAGGAGGAGGAGGAGGAGGAGGAGGAGAGGAGGAAAGAAGAAGGAGGAAGGAGGAGGTGGAGGAGGAGAAGGAGGAGGAGGAGAGAAAGGAGGCAGACTGTATTCGCATCAGACTTTAGTGTCCAGCCCGACCGACCCGACCCGCCCGATAGGGTCCGCCCGCCCGACCCGCCCGATAGGGGTCCGCCCTTCCCGACACGCCCGATAGGGTTCTCATGTGTCATGCTGTACACGCATCAGACTTTAGTGTCCCGCCAGCCCGACCCGACCCGCCCGATACAGGTCCGCCAGTCCCGACCCGCCCGTTAGGGTTCTCATGTGTCATGCTGTATTTGCATCAGACTTTAGTATCCCGCCAGCCCGACCCGACCCACCCGATAGGGTCCGCCCGCCAGAACCGTCCGATAGGGTCCGCCCAACGTCGTCGCCGTCGTCGACGCCATCGTAGTCGTCGTCGTCGTCGTCGTCGTCGTCGTCGTCGTCGTCGTCGTCGTCGTCGTCGTCGTCGTCGTCGTCGTCGTCGTCGTCGTCGTCGTCGTCGTCGTCGTCGTCGTCGTCGTCGTCGTCGTCGTCGTCGTCGTCGTCGTCGTCGTCGTCGTCGTCGTCGTCGTCGTCGTCGTCGTCGTCGTCGTCGTCGTCGTCGTCGTCGTCGTCGTCGTCGTCGTCGTCGTCGTCGTCGTCGTCGTCGTCGCGTCGTCGTGTCGTCGTCGTCGTTGTCGTCGTGTCGTCGTCGTCGTCGTTGTGTCGTCGTCGTTGTCCTTGTCGTCGTCGTCTTCGTCGTCGTCGTCTTCGTCGTCGTGTCGTCGTCGTGGTCGTGGTCGTCGTCTTCGTCCTCGTCGTCGTCTTCGTCGTCGTCGTCTTCATCGTCGTCGTCGTCCGTCGTCGTTTGCTGGCGGCGAGAAGGGGGGGCGGGGGGCAGGGGAAGGAGGGGGGAAGGAATCGAACGCCCCCCCCTTGCACCAGGAGGGGAATGACCCGCCGCCGGCAAACGTCGTTGTTGTCGTCGTCGTCGTCGCCGGCGGCGGCGGCGGCTGCCGGCGGCGGGTAGGGGGGGGGATTCGAAACACCCCCCAGGAGGGCATGGGGAGGGGGAAGGGGTTCGAAGGGGGGGTTCGAAGGGGGGGGGGAGAAACACCCCCAGGGAATGCCTGGGAGGGGGGGTTCGAACCCCACCCCCCCTCCTTGGCACAAGAATGTGTCGTCGTCGTCGTTGTCGTCGGCGGCGGCGGCGGCGGCGTCGGCGTCGGCGTCGGCGTCGGCGTCGGCATCGGCCGGTGGCTGCCGGCGAGTCGGGGGGGGGGTCAAGACCCCCCTGGAGGGCCTGGGGATGGGGAGGGGGGGGGTGAAACCCCCATAGGGGGCCTGGGGAGGGGGGTTTGGGTGGGAGGGGGTTCGAACCTCCCGGTTCTTTTGGGGGGATAGGGGGGATTGTGCTGGGAGGGGGTTCGGGGAGGGAGGTCCTCCTGTTTCCAGACCCCCCTGAGGGATTTTTTTCGGGGAGGGGGGGAGGGACCCCAGGTTCTCTGACTCCCCCTCGGGGATTTTTCTCAGCATAGCCGCGGTGGACCGCCGCTCCCTCGACTCGTCGAACCCGACGACGTCATTCGGGCGAAGAGGAGCGAGGAGCGAGGAGGAGGAGGAGGAGGAGGAGGAACGAGGAGGAGCGAGAAAGAGCGAGGAGGAGCGAGGAGGAGCGAGGAGGAGCGAGGAGGAGGAGAAGGAGGTGGAGCGAGGAGGAGGAGGTGGAGCGAGGAGGAGGAGGAGGAGGAGGAGGAGGAGGAGGAGGAGGAGGAGGAGGAGGAGCGAGGGGAGGAGGAGGAGGAGGAGGAGGAGGAGGAGGAGGAGGAGGAGGAGGAGAGGAGGAGGAGGAGGAGGAGGAGGAGGAGGAGGGAGCGGGGAGGAGGAGCGAGGAGGGGGAGCGAGGAGCGAGGGGCATCCCCGCCGCCGCTGGACGCGCCGCCTGGACCGGCGTGCCCTCCAGAGACTGGAAGCCGCGGAACACGACGGTGCGGCAGCTGGGGCGGGGGGGCGGGAGGGCGGCGGAGGAGCGGGCCCATGGATCGGATCGGCTCGGCAGCAGGCGTCGTGCCCCGCATCGCATCGCAAATGTGCCCCCGCAGAAAATGCGGGGGCACATCTGTGGGGGGGCCACACCTGTTTAGTTGGCTGCACCAGGCGAAAGAGCTGCGCGGGGGCACCGAAAAGCGAAGTGGCCAGCTGGGGGGGGCACACTTACCATGGCATCCCACCCCGCCGCTGCCAAAAACCACGGCTCCGACCGACCCTGCAGGGCCCTGAGGGGAAGGGGGCAGACCTCTTGGGGCCCCCTCCGCTTTCCCTGGGCTCTCCCTGAGGGCTGGCGGCTGCATCTTGAGGCTATGCAGGGTTATCTTGGCGGCCTTGGTGACCGTCCTGGGCCCTCTCGGGAGCTTCAGAAAACCCTTGGAAGCCATCGGGTGGGATTCAGGGCAGGGGGGGGGGCAGGGAACAGGGCGAGAAAACAGGGGTGTTGGCATCATCATCCCCCCTGGATGGTGGCATGCGAGAGAAGCGGGAGAAGGGGGGGGCAAGCAAAAAACGAAAGTGGGCAAGAGGGGAAGGGAAGGGGGGAAGAGGGGAAGAGGGGGCAACGGGGGAAAGAGGGAAAGGGAAGGGCGGAGAAGAGAGAAACGGGAAGGAGGAACGAGAGAAAAGGGACGGCAAGGACAAGGGCAAAAGGGGAAGGGGGGACGGGAAAAGAGGAGGACAAGGCAAAAGGGAGATGGAGTGCAAAGGGGATGGAAAGGGAGAGAGGAAGGGGAAGGGAAAGGGAGAAAGGAAGGGCGAATGGGGAAAGGGAAAAGGGAAAGGCAACCAGCGAACGAGGACAGAGATGAAGGGCGGGATGGGAGGCCAAACCCAAACCCCCAGTTCATCCCCCTCGTTTTCCCATTATCGCACCAAACGGCCGCGACCCGCCCTGAAATACGCCAACCCGCCCCGAACCTAAGGCTCACCCCCTCAACGCCCCCAGGGGATAGGGGGGAAGGGCCAAGGAAGCAAACCCGCCCGATATCCGTTGATATGATACCGGAGAAAAAAACAATCATAATTTGTTTCGGGCTATACGGATATGGGGCTATAGGGCTGTGTGGCTATAGGGCTATGGGATTAAAGGCTAACTTTGGGGCTATAAGGCTATAGGGCTCTAGGGCTATAGGGCGATAGGGCTATAAGGCTATACGGTTGTAAGGCTATACGGCTATAAGGTTATTGGGCGATTGGGCTATAGGGATATAGGGATATTAGAACCCTGGGACTATAGGGCTATAGGGCTATAGGGTTATAGGGCTATATAGCTGTAGGACTAGAGGGCTATAGGACCACCCGGCACCTGGGCACCCGGGCGTGCCGCCGAAATCGGCGCCGCACCTCACCTAACCATTTGGATCCGCTAGGACCCCTACAGAGGCAAGCTCTGATCAGGGAAAAACACGATGATACGGGAGAAAGATCCCAATCATAATGTAAGGTTATCGGGACATGGGGCTATAAGGCTATAGGGCTAGAACGCCAACTATGGGGCTATCGGGCTATAGGGCTATAGGGCTACTGGGTTAGAAAACTATGGGGCTATAGGGCTATCGGGGTATACGGCTATAGGGTTATAAGGCTATTGGAGTATAAGGCTATAAGGCTATAGGGTTATGGCGCTATTTGGCTATAGGGGTATTACGGCGATAGGACTATGAGGCTATAGAAGGCTGTAGGGTTTTAGCCCCATAGGCCTTTCGGCCTACAAGGCTATTAGGCTACAGGACTCTGGGGCTATAGGGCTATCGGGCACCCACGCATCCGGGCACCTGGGCACCCGGGCACCCGGTTACCCGGGCACCCGGGCACGCCCCGGCACCCCTGGGCACCCCCGGGCACCTCCAAGCACCCCCGGGCACCCCCGGGCACCTGGGCACCTGGGCACCGGGCACCCGGACACCCGGGCACCCTGGCACCAGGGCGAGCCACCGAAATCGGCGACACATCCCACCTAACCATATGAATACGCTAGGACCCCACAGAGGCAAGCTCTGCTTGGGAAACGCCGGGCAGGATCTATTCCGGGCAGAGCCGGCAAGTCAAAGCGGCCCCTATACCAAGGTTTGAAAGAGGAGGGAGAGGGAGATGAAACGAACGAACGAACGAACGAGCCACCAATGCGGACATGCGCCCGGGCCACGTGAGACTAGGCGGGCGAGGCATAGGCTCGAAACACTGTAGTGCGCATGCGTTGACACACATGAACGTGAGACATGCATATAAATATATATGTGTGTACACACATACACATAAACATACACATAAACATACACATACACATACACATACACATACACATGCACATACAAATTCACATACACATACACATACACATACACATACACATACACATACACATACACATACACATACACATACACATACACATACACATACACATACACATACACATACACATACACATACACATACACACACATACACATACACATACACATACACACACATACACATACACAGACACATACACATACACATACACATACACATTCGCATACACATACACCTACACATACATATTCACATACACGTACAAATACATATACATGTACATACACATATACATATATATATATAGATATATACATGTATATGTATATATGCATAAACACACATATATATATACATACATGAACATCTACATATACGTATATATATACATATACATATACGTTTACATACACATATACATAAATATACATATGCATGTACACAGACATATACCTATACATATGCGTGTATGTATACGAGTGTATATATATATATATATATATATATCCGTATATACATATACATATATATACACACATAAACACATGCGCAATCATATACATATACATAGACCTACGCATGTACATATACATATACGTATACATACACATATACATATGCACATACACATACATATACACACACCCCTACACATACACATACACCTACATATATATAATCATGAACATCTACACATGCATATACATATACTATATACATCTATAATAACATATACATATAGATAGGCATTGGCATATTCATAAACAAATACAAATACAAGTTCATATACATACAAATGGGCATACACATATACATCTACACATACATATACACATGCATCTACATATTCTGGAACCACGCGCGCGCTTCGCGCGCGCTTAGGTTCTAGCTAGGAGGCGAGCTTGAGTCAACGAAAGTCGCAGGGAAGGGGGCAGGGGGAAGAAGGCCAGAGAGCGCTGAAGGATACAAATACTGGAACCCTCTTGTGATTTTGTGGGGGGCCTCGTCCGGCCGCTCGCTGGGAGTTTGACGTAGCTCCTCGGGAGCCTCTGAACCTGTCGGGGGCCTCCTGGAAGCAGGTTCGAAGCATTTTGGGGGCCGATTTGGGGGTTCTCGGGGCCTACTTTGGGCCTCTTGGAGGTCTCCTGGGGCCTCTTGAGGGGCCTCCTTGGGGCCTCCTGGCGGCCTCTTGGGGCGGAAGGCTCGAGCTTGCGGTTCGTGGTCCCCCTCTGGGCCCCTCTTGGGCCCGTCCCTCTTGGGCCATCTTGGGCGCCTCTGGGGCCGTCTTGGGGCCCTCTTGGGCTGTCCTGGGGCCCTCGTGGAAGCTTCTTGGGCCGTCTTGGGCCGGTCTTGGACGCCTCTTGGGCCGTCTTGGACGCGGCGAAAGCCCAAGAGGCGAACATGCGAAAAATATACGTTTTCCCATAGGAATGGCAGATTTTTGCTTCTTGGGCCTCTCTTGGGCTGCCTCTCGGAGCGTCTTGGAGGCTTCTGGGACCTTCTTGGTGTCATGACAGGCGTCTTGGAAGGCATCTGGAGCCATCGGAGCGCGTTCCGAAGCCGCCTGCGAACGATCTTGGACGGCGTCCGGCGGTCCGACGAGCCTCCGGGCCCCCCGGGGCCCACATTTGTGGTCGAGGTCCCGGCCCCGGGCCCCCGGATCCGGTGCGCCGTTATATGTATATATACATATACAATGATATGTGTACATATATCCCTCGCGGTGGCTCACTCTTTACCCGGGGGGGCCAGGAGAGAGGGGGCACTTTTTTACTGCTGGTCAGTGGGATGCGTCCATCGTGGACCCCACCGGCTCCTTTTGAGCGGCGAACGCCCGTCCTGATAGCTTGGTGGGCGGGCGGAAAGGAAAAGGCCTAGCCGAACGGCTGCGGAAGGGAAAACGGCGGAGAAAAGCAGGGGAGGGATTACACTGTCAAGGGGAGAACCCAATAACAGGAGCAAGTCCCTCCAGATGGCCCACTCTTTTCCGGGCTGGGGGGGGCAAGGAGAGAGGGGGCACCTTTTTACTGGCGGCGGCCAAGAGGGATGAGCCCATCTTGGACCCCCGCCCACACGGCCCGCGGCCCGCAAGGGCCCGCTCCACCCCGTCCGTTCCCCACATAAACGAAAGCGGTCGCGAGGCGCGCCGGAAGCATCCTCGGGCGCCCGCGCCAATCCACGGGAGACAGGACCCGCCATGCAAGGGGCGCGCGTCGGCGCCATGCCGCGCGCAGAAAAGAGGCGGGGCCCGCGCCGCCCTTCCGGCGGGCGCACCCGTGAGGGCAGCTTCCGACCGCGGCCAAACCCACGTCCACCGATGGGTTGCCCCGGCACCCCGTCGTCATGCTTACCTTCGAGTAGGCCCGTAGACCCCCCTGTCCCGGTCTACGACGACCATCGCCCGGGAGCGGTAGCACACCCCCGAAACCCCCGCCCCGCGCCGCCCACTCCCAGGCGCGCGAGGCGGCCCACCCGATCTGGTGCCACCCCTTCTGCTCGGAGTTGCCCACGAGCGCCCAGGTTCGCAGCCAGTCCTGCATCTTGGGGCGGGGCGCCTTCCAGCGGCAGTCCCCGACATCCCGCTCCGCAGTCCTGCAAATACTCAGGCAGGACTTCTTCGGCGGGGTCGAAGTCATCCTGCACTCGAATGGCGCCCTCAAACACCTCCCAGCGGCCGACCAGCCACATCGGCACCCAGCCGCGCACGAATGCTGGGCCGAGGGGCTCGGGATTGGCAGGGCTCGAGCCGGGCCCACCTGAACTGATACCGGGGTGCCAAACCACGCCAACGGCGACACCCGCCGCCGCGCTGACCATGGCGCCCACCGGCGCTCCCTTCCCGGGCGCCCGGGGCGGGGGCTCCACAACTGCCTGCACCTGCAGGAGCAGAAGCGCCAGCCCGCCCGCCCCAGGGCCCACCATGCGCGCGCGCGGGCCCCGGGACCCGCGGGATTAGGGGGAAACCCCTCCGTAAAAGGAGAAGGCCCAACCAAACGGCTGCGGAGGGGAAAAAGGGGTGAGGAAGAGAGAAGCAGGGGAGGGATTGAACTGTTAAGTGGGGACCGAATAACAGGAGCATACATTTATACGCACATACAGGGGAAGGAGGAAAATAGAGGAAAGGGGAAGACAAAGGGGGCCGGAGGGGGAAGGCAGAAGGAAAGGAGACCGACGGAGCTGTTCGGCCCCGCCTTCGCCCACCCCAGGCCCCCTGGACCTGCCTCCGAGGCCCCCCCGCCGCGGCGGGGCCCAGGCCGTAAGGCTCCCAAGCAAGGCCCTGCCTGCAGAACTCCCGACGGGGCGAGGTGCGGTCGGAGGGGGGGCCGACGAGGGGCACGACGATGTGAAGGAGGAACAGATCTTTCCGCTGGGAGCCGTGGGGCCGAACCAAAGAGGCGCATTAGTGGAGCCTGAAATGCAGGTCGCGCACGGTGGGCGACCTCCCTGGAACAAACGTGGTGTCCGACGATGCTGAATGGGGAGCAACGAGAGGAGGAGAAGGAGGAAGAGGAGGAGCGTTGTCTCTCGGGTTCTGCTTCGGCTCCGATCTCCCTCGCGCACCCCCTCCCGGCCCGCTGTGATGCTCCTCCCCCTTCCCGCCGGCCTCTCCCCTGCCTGGATCCTCCCTGGACACCTCCTCGGCTGAAAAAAGCTCGCGAGATCCTTCCTTCCGAGCTGCTCCACTCGGCCAAAGCCTCACCCCCGAATCACCCCCGAATCGCGCACGGCGAGACTAGCCGGGGGGAAAGCACCGAGGAGCTCCGTCTGCGTCAACGGTGGCGATCTGGACGTAATTGCCTCCGCGTATCTCGCGGGACTTCTTGATGGCCGACTGCACGCGGACTGTCCACACCTCCAAGAAGGGAGGAGGAGGAGGAGGAGGAGGAGGAGGAGGAGGAGGAGGAGGAGGAGAAAGAAGAGAAGGATGAGCAGAACGAGGACGCGGACCAGAATGAGGACGAGAAATGGGAGGCCGACCAGGACGAGGCACAGAAAGAAGGATGGACGAGGGAGGAGGCAGGATGCAGGGAGGACGAAGGCAGGACAAGGCAGGAAAAGAGGCAGGAGGCACGAGGGAGCAACGGAGGCAGCGCGAAGCTCGCGGTGGGCGCGCCTGGGGAGGCGTGGGAACGCCAGAGGAGGGGCCCCGGGGCGCCCGCCCGGCAACAGGGGGCCCGGGCACGGGCACGCCGCCGCGGACAACGACGGGGCGGACCACGCCGCGAGACCAGTGGATGGCGGCTGGCGGGGGCCCAGAAGACGCCATGGCGCGAGAAGCGGCGCCCGACCGATCGGCTTCACGGCCACTGGGTTGCCATGCTCTGGCAGGGGGGGGCAGCCGATGCCGCCTCAGCCCACGCGACGGCCCCACGGACATTCACCGCACTCCGAGACATGGGGTTCGGAGGACTGGAGGCCAGTCACAGGCCAAGAGAAGGGAGGAGAGGGCAGAGGTGGAGAAAAGAACGAGGAGGAGGAGGGAGACGGTGAGAAGAATGAGGGGAAAGAAGCCCACCAGCCCTCTTAGGTGATTTAACGAGTTTTGCCTTCTCTCCCCCTCCTTCCCCTGCACGGGCGAGGGGTTGATTAATGTTTGCTTCCTCATGAATGAACATACCCTCCTCCAGGTTACCAGCAGCCAACCAGCACCAATGCGGGCCCCCCCACCATCCCAATTACAAACAATGTTAAATCCATGTTGGTGCAAAATCTTGGATCATGATCGGGGAAGCGGCGAGCACTGTGTTTTGTTTTTCCCACCCCAAAACTGGGTTACTTGTTTTCCCTGCACGCACACCTCACGCAGGCACTCCTCCTCCTCCTCCTCCTCCTCCTCTTCCTTCTCCTCCTCATCATCATCACCATCCCCCTCCTTCTCTTCCTCCTCCTCCTCCTTCCCCTCCTCCTCTTCCGCCTCCTCCTCTTCCTCCTCCTGCTCCTCCTCCTCCTAATTATCCTTTATTCTTCTTCCTTCAAAAAAACTCATCCCTGTCGCACCCCGAGGCTGGTTGAAAGGGCGGGCCGGGCATTTCGCATGAGACCTCCTCACCATTTATGACCCTGAAGCTTACACATCGGCAGCAGCTTCACAAGTGGAGGGCGGCTCGCTTTCAAAATGTGCCTCTCGCTCTGCCGCCGCGCACATTCGTTTGAAAAAGTTGCAAGAGCTTCACGGATTGAAGGCGGGTGGTTTTCAACATGTGGCTCTCGCCTTAGCGCCGCATACATTCGCTTCACGGATTGAGGGCGCCGCCTTAGCGCCGATCACATTCCGCTGTTCAAAATTACACGAGGACCACGGATTCCCAGGGCCAACGTACCGAATATGGTGTTTTGGAAAGACTGAGGACGATGATTCGCGGCATTGAAGTCTAAGGAAATCCCTGAAATGGCGTTCTGGCACGATTCAGGATCGTCAAGACGTAACAGTCAGGTTGATCCGTGGCGTTAGTCCCGAGACACATGTTTCGATATGCTTCAGGGTTTTCAAACGGTTGTCTTCCAACGAGGCAGTTCCCTGAGTGGAAATGAACCCTTTTAGGGGCCTATGAAGAGGGAGCTTGGAGGGAGAGCTTATTCCAACATCGTTGATGACCGTTGGGTTTACACTGGTTGTCCTCCTCCTGCTCCTCCTCCTCCTCGGCCTGCAGGCGGCGAGCACGCCTCCGCCGCGCTGCTGGCTGCCAGGGGCCCCCCTGCGGCGCCTCCGGCGGCCGCGCTTTCCGGGCCCCACCCGCGCCTCCTCCCCCTTGTCTACACGAGGGAACGACCCCAGGCACGAGGGCCCTTTGGTGCGCGACTTTCGCGGGCCACGGGAAGGCTTAACTGCAGCGCGCAAGCCGCTGCTACCGCATCGCAGTAAGCCATCTGAGGACCCAGTGCGCCCGCACCAAATTGTCACTCTGGCGAACAGTCACTCTTACGTACAGCCGATCCCACCCTCCCCACCCTTCGAGTCGGCGGCGTGCCCAAGGGGGGAGGAGCCGTTTCATATGATTCGCGATAACGCCCGTGACTGGCCCTGCCCCCCCCCCTGTTCACGTCACGATTCGCGCCGGCGCCGCAGGAACCCCACCAGCGGTCTGGGCGTGGGTGGTTCAAAAAGTTGTGTTTTCTCTCCCCCTCCTTCCCCTGCTCGTGGGAGGGGTTTATCATTGTCCCCCATAAATGTACACCCCCTCCCCCAGGCGACCAGCAGGTAACCAGGAACCACGAGGACATCATGCAGAGCCCTCACCGCCATCCCTGTCAAAAAACAATTCAAAACACAATCTGCCTTCAAATTTGGAGCATGCGCAGCCAACCTGGTGCGCTCCCCCCCCACCATCCCTGTCAAAAAACAATAAAAAGTACACTTAGGGCCAAAGTCTTGAATCATGTTCGTGAGGACCGCGAGCACTTTGCATTGTTTTTCACAAGGACGGCGGGGGTGTCAGCAGATGGCCTGCTGCGCTCAGGGCTACCATCCCTGACAAAAAGCGCTACAAAATGCACCTCGCGGCTAAATCTGGATCATGCGCGGCCCCCCACGATCACAGTCAAGCGGTTTTTGACAGGGACGGCGGGGGTGGTGGCGTATGGCCCGCTGCCAGCAGGCCCACCAGACACAATGATGGGTATTGGTTTTCGACAAGGATGGTGGGGGCCGACATGTTCCCCGATGTGTGCTGTCACGTGCGCAGGCGCACCTGACACACTCTGCACGTGCCCCGAACGTGGCGCACCTGGCGCGGCTGGAGTCTGCGGCACACCTGGCGCACGCGGAACACGTGGCACATCTGGCGCACCAGGCGTGCCTGTCACGCTCGGGCCCCAGGGGTGCCTGGCGCGCGTGAAGCGCCTGGCACGCGTGGCGCACCTCGCCCCAGCGTCGCGCACATGGGGTCGGTTTTGGTTCCCAGTAGCTGCCCATCCAAAGACGACCGCTGAACATGCTGAGGCTCGGGTGTCACTTATGTAATGGGAGGGCCAATGAGAGTGAGCTAGACGGCTTGCTATCTAGGGGGTGTCTTGATCACTGTTCCCAATTAATATACACCCCCTCTCCCACCCGGCCGGCAGCCAACCCGGAACCATGATAACCCCATGGGGGCCACCCCCCCCCCCATCCCTTGTAAAAAATACATGACGCATGTTGCCTCTACATTTGAAGCATGCGCGGCCGCCCCGCAGCAATTTTGTATTGGTATTTTATCGGGACGGCTGGGGCGCCAGCAAATCCCACCTGGCTTCTGGGCACAGGTGGTCGACCGACAGGTTTGACACATCAGTGGCTGCTGCCTTTTCGCCGTACCGTTTCCGATGGGCTTTCGAAATCTCCCAATGGCTCTTAAATTGGCCAAGAAAGCTCAAAGCCAGGCCCAAGAGGCTTCTAAACCCGTGGCGTGTGGAGCGTTCTCACACGATATGCTGACATCCGGGTATTACTTTATGTGTTGGGAGGGCGGGTGGGAGTGAGCAAGACGGATTGCGGGTGGGTGGGTAGCTCGACCCCTGCCCCTACCCCCTCTCCTGGGTCTGGGAGGGGGGGGGCCAGGGAGTTAGAGCTTCAAGATGGGCCCAAGATGGCTCCAAGAGGGCCCTCGGCAGCCCAAGACGGCATCTGAGATGGCTCAAGATAGCCGAAGACGGTTGAATATAGCCTCCTACATATCTCCAAGAGGTCCCAAGACGGCTCGGAGTGCCCTTCGAGCCTTCCCAGGCACCCTCCATGAAGCCAAAACCATTCAAAAACCTTTACCATCGATATTATTTGCCTCCTCGCTTTTTCGCTTCCAATGGGCTCAAAGGGCCTAAGAATGGCCCCTAATACGGCTCAAGAGAGCCCCAACAGGAGCCCAAGAGGGCCCAAAGAGGGCCCAAAGAGCGCCCAAGAGCGCTCCAAGAGTGGCCCGAGAGGGTCCCAAGACCCCCAGAATGAGCCCCAAGAGAGCCCCAAGAGTGCCCCAAGAGGCCCCACGGGGACCCCGAGAGAGCCCCTAAGATGGCGTCAGTCGTCCTTCAAAAACCTCTCACAACAACATATATCCAAAGTCCGACTTCTCATCCTCCTTGACAACGTCCGTTCCTCCTCTCCTACTTTCCTGCCTCCTACCTCCTCCTCCTCCTGCTCCTCCTCCTCCTCAGCATCATCATCATCATCATCATCATCATCATCATCATCATCATCATCAGCAGCATCATCATCATCATCATCATAGTCATCATCATAATCATAATCATCATAATCAGAATCATAATCAGCATCATCAGAATCATCATCAGCATCACCATCATCATCATAATCAGCATCAACAGCATCTTCGGCATCATCATAAGCATAATCGTGCTAATCGTCATCATCACAACAGTCAAAGTGTGACTGCTAGTATGAGTATTGCTACAACTGTTCATCGCATTATTGACAGTAATACTGATAGAAAACTAAAAAATCGCAACAGTACAACTAGTAGTATCATTTATATTACGAGTAGTAGTAGCAGTAGTAGTAGTAGTTGCTGTAGTAGTGGTAGTAGTAGTAGTAGTAGTAGTAGTAGTAGTAGTAGTAGTAGTAGTAGTAGTAGTAGTAGTAGTAGTAGTAGTAGTAGTAGTAGTAGTACTAGTAGTAGTAGTGGTAATGGTAGTGTTGGTAGTAGTAGTAGCCGTAGTAGTAGTAGTAGTAGTAATAGTAGTCATGGGTAGTGGAAGTAGTAGTAGTAGCAGTAAAAGAAGAAGAAGAAGTAGTAGTAGTAGTAGTAGTAGTGGTAGTAGTAGTAGTAGTAGTCGCTCAGGCCGTTTTGCCGCCGTGGCGTGATTCATCCATGCGCCTCCCGTGGGCCCCTTGATGGCCTGAGAGGAGTTGGAGCTGCCCTGCCCCTGTTGGCGCAGGGAGCCCGGGCCGCCCGTGTTTGGCTCGGATCCTTCCCCTTGCGCCGCCCGCGAGCAACGTCTGATGTCGTGGAGCGTGCACGGGTTGCCTGCAAGCACGGGGGTCAGCTGGAGCTTGTACGCCGACAGTACGAGGATGGTGCTGTTGGTCCTTCTTACCCATGGTACGAGGGCCTTCACCAATGCAACCACTGTGCGCGCTTCGTGGATGTTGGCGTAACCGTCGTGGAACTTGGACTGGACCTCTTGCGAGGGGATGTGAGCAAGTATGAAGCGATGCTGGTCGTAGCCGGTGTCGCCGCTTCCCTTCGGGGCCATACAAGCTGCCTTGCTCCGGAATCCGCCTGCGGTGTCGATCAGGGAGTCGTCAGGCTCGTAGTTGCCGTCCTCGTTCTTTGCTGCTTCGTGTTCTTGGTCGGACAACGGTCGTGCGAACGGCCACTCCAGTCCTTCGGCGCATGGTCGCTGTAGCATGGGGTCCAGGATGGCGGAGACCGGTCTGCCCCCGTAGAACGTGAGCGAGGGCCACGCGAGCAGGGACGGATGGATCCGATAGCACTCCTCCAGAGTGACATTGCATTCGGGCCCACACACACACGCACGCACGCACGCACGCACGCACGCACGCACACACACACACACACACACACACACACACGCGCACACACACACACACACACACACACACGCACGCACGCACGCACGCACGCACACACACACACACACACACACACACACACACACACGCACACACGCACACACACACACACACACATACACACGCGCGCACGCACGCACGCACGCACGCACGCACGCACACACGCACACACGCACACACGCACACGCACACGCACACACCACCACAAAAAACACAAACGCACGCCTAGTCTAGTCCTCACCCCCACCTTCGACGCCTGGTGGTTTGCGGGTCATCAATCTGACCTTCGGCGGCCGTTCGGGACGATTCGGGCACCCCCGCAACGCTCTCGTCGAGGCGCAGCTGATGGAAAGCACTCCGAGCCGACAGAAAACCTCTGCAACAAGAAACTTGCAGGAACCAGCAAAAAAATTATCCCCCTGCATATGCGACGACGAGAGCAAGCTCCTCCCCCTAGTCCTCACCCCCTCTCCTCCCCCTCCTCCGCCCCCTAACCCTCACCTCCCTCTTGAACGCTCACGATGGAGGGTGGCACGGGCCTATGTCGGCGAGCCCTACGCTGCTGGCGCCCGCGGCGGCAGTCATGCGGCGCGGCGGCGGGCGACGCAAGGTGGGCGCCAGGACGGACCTGCTCGGGGCGAGGGCTGGGCTGGACCCTGTGAGCGGTCATGGGATCCGCTTTGCCACATGGAAATCGCACAGACAGACCCCCAGGGAGTCCCAGCCGGCCTCAACAGGCCTCCCGAGTAGGTCCAGCTGGCCTCAACAGGCCCCTGGACTACTCCGGGGGCATGTTGAGGCCAGCTCCTCTCTCCCACCTGCTCCCGCTGCAAAATATAAATCACGACGGACAGGTCGGGGCCGTCTTCGGCCTCTGGGGGGCACTCACCGGGCCCCGCGGCCGGCAAGAAAAGGCTGGCTCGGGATGAAAAAACGGTCCTGGGGAAGGGGTCCAGATCTCCAGGGGGGGTCCACGATTACCCCCATGAGGTCGGGGGATCGAGCCGCATCGCCGATGCATCGCCGATGCGGCTCGATGTGGAGCCCGATCTTCTCCACGCTAATGTCGCCGATGCGTCGCCGACGTCGCCGATGCACCGCCGACACATCGGCGATGCGTCGCGATCCTCCAACCCATCTACCCTGGGAGGGGTCAGGGTTACGAGGCAACTCCTGAAAGGCCTTCATAAGAAAGGCTCAGGCTTAACCCCGATAACAAGTCGGTAAGCCGGAGCAGCCCGGATTAAGCCAGGGATTGACCCCGATGAGGCTGGATCAAGCGAGACTAACCCTGATTAAGCTGGAATGTACTGGATTAAGCCGGATTTCGACCACGGATATGCTAGCGCACCTCCCAGGAGTTGCATCCTTCGTCTGGTGCTCCGATTTAAACGCACTGCGCATGAAGAGAAAGAGGGCGTTGAGGAGGGGGAGGAGAAGAGGAAGAGAAGGAAGACGGTCGAGAATTGAGGTTTTTGGATGCTGCCTGTCCTTTTCCAGACCTCTGGAGACCTCCAGACTCAGAAATTCGGAGTAGGGAACCCATGATAAGGAATCCTGGCCTCTTCAGCAAAGAACTCGCAGGGAAAAAAACAATAAATAATCATTGATATGGCAACTGACCAATGAAGTCTTCGTCGGAAATCCTTCATACCAAAAAAATCCATGAGGTGTGCTTACTACGGAATCCTTGATAATGCACCCGAGTAAGGAATTCTTATAGAGCTCACCTTGACAAGGAAACCTTGCTAAGGAATTCTGCGTAAGCAATCCTTACTGCGGAATCCACACCAGAGAACCCGTACTAAAGAACCCGTGGGACGGAATCCGTCGTTAGGTATCCGTACTTTTCTGCGGAATCCTTCCAAAAAAAACGTACTACAGCACCCTTGCTACGAACTCCGCACTATAGAGTCCGTACGAAACCATCCTACATAATCCATACCAAAAGAAGCCTGAATGCTTAGTGGCGAACCCTTAATCAGGACTCCTGAATACGGCGTCCTTACTAATAGACCTTTGTACTGAAGAACCCTTACGACATGAGCCTTGGCCAAGAGTGTTTAGTAAGGATTGAAGAACCCGTACCAACAGAAAATATTGAGTAAAGAACCTCCATGAACAAACGCGCACTAAAGCACACATGATAAATATTCCCTGTTGGGCAATCCTTCGTGAGAATTCCCAGGTACGGAATTACTGAATTCACGAAATCCGTGGTAAGGAAACGCTGGTAAGGGATCCTGATTATGAAACATTCATGGAGAACCCTTGGTAAGGAGTCCCCAAGAGAGTACCTGTACTAAAAATCCCTGATTGAGCAATCAGTATTAGAAATACTAACTGAAGCATTTTGACTGAGAGTTCCTGTGTACACGGGGGACCTTACGAAGGACCCCTTGTAGAAAAAAATGTGCGAAGAAAATTTCGGCACGGAACCCTTAATAAGGAGTCAACCGCAACAACAGAAAGTAGGAACTTCTGGTGTAGACTCGTTGGTGAAGACTCCTTCTTAAGGCATGTTTGAAAAATCCTGCGTGCAGAAACTTTGGTAAGGAATCCTTCCGGAAACCTTCAGGAAGACTATGTTGAATCCTTCGGAGCCCTCACGAATCCTTCCAGGATCCTGTATGGATCATGTAAAAGCCCTTAAGACTCCCCTAAGGGTCCTCGGAATCGTTCAAGAATGGTGGGGTGTCGGTGTTGGTGTGGGGGGGGCGGGACGGGCCGCCAGCGCACGTGACCAACAACAACAACAACAACAACAACAACAACAACAACAACAACAACCGGTTTAAGACTGTTTGCTCTGATATGCTCGCGTGCCACTCAACACGCATATCCCAAACCCTCGATACCCGCCCTCGTCGTCTTCGATTGTACCCCCTTGGGGGTATATCTTTCTTACCTGCAACGTGTAATTCATGCAGCCTCTACGGCAGGGGAAGAGAGGACGGATGGAAGAAAGGGACAAGGGGGAGGGAGGAGGATGGAGCACAAGAGAGAGAGCAGCAGGAGGGGGGCGAGGAGCAGAAAACGCGTGGCAGAACCAGACGGGCAGATCGGGCGGGTAGACCCTAACGGGCGGGTCGGGAAGGCGGGCCGAGCGGCCAGGTCGAGCAGGCGAGTTGCTGAAGCGGGCGTCTTGCATGAAGCGCGAGGAAATCTCGAGCAATAGCGCGATTCCCAAGCCCGCCAGCCCCCTTGTGGGGCCATCAGGCTGCGAGGATGAGGGTTGCAGTACCCTGCACCAGTTCCAGTTTCCAGTCTCCAATGTTACAATTCTGCTTCCTGCCTTCTACTGTAATTTGTTGAAGTCCGCGCGAGGGGGGGGAGCCGAAAAGGAGCCTGTTACCACCCCTGAATCGCGTTCTCTGAATTCCTGCGGGGCCGTAGGACACGTAAAACACGTAAGGTTCGCGCTCCCAACGCAATAATCTCCCATAAATCCACCAGCCCTCTGGGCGTAGGTGGTCTAACGATGACTTTCTTTCCTCTTCCAAAAACCCTTCTTCCCCTTCGAGGAGGGGTTTATAACTGTTCTCTATTAGTAAACACCCCCTCCCCCACCTGGCGGACAGCCAATCCGCAACCATGCGGGCACCCCCCCCCACCATCCCTGCCAAAAAAACATACGAAATGCATGATACCCTAGAAAAAAAACACAATCCTACTTGTTTTAGGGCTATAGGGCTATGGGGCTGTAGCGCTAGAAGGCTATAGGGCTATAAGGCTATAAGGCTATGGGGCTAGTGGGCGATAGGGCGATAAAGCTATAGGGCTATGCTATAGGGCTATAGGGCTATGGGGCTATAGAGCTGCAAGGCTATAGAACTATAGGGCTATAGGGCTATAGGGCTGTAGGCCTATAGGGCTATAGGGCTACAGGGCTATAGGGCTATAGGGCTGTAGGGCTATAAGGCTATAGGGTTATTAGGGCTGTAGGGCTCCAGGGTTATTAGGGCTGTAGGGCTATAGGGCTATAGGGTTAAACGGCTATAGGGCTATAGGGTTATCAGGATACAGGGCTATAAGGTTATAGGGCTAGAATTCACGAGGACCCGTACAGAGGCAAGCTCTGATTGGGGAACATTGCGGGGCCCACCCTCCCAACACCCTCCACATACGAAGTGCACATTGCAGCAAAATCTGGACAGTGCGCTGGCGCCCCGTGAGCACGTTGTACTGTTTTTGACAGGGATAGCGGGGCACCCTTAGTGAAGCCGCTTTGTGCAGGATCACCAACAGTGTCAAAAACAATTAAAACAGTGCACGTTGCGACAACGTCGTGGGTACTGCGCTGGCCACCCGCGATCATTTTCTATTGTTTTGTTGACAGGGACGGCGGTGGTGCCCGCATCATGATGCTTGCTGTGCGCAGGCCCAGAAGAATGCTGACACCCCCCACATCAGCATCTGGACCATGCGGGCGGGGGGACATCACGTTTTTCCCAACCATCCAGTGGTGTTGGGACACTGAGGGCAGCAACGAGACCACGAAGGGAAGCGAGGGGTCCACGAAGGGCGACAGCGGGGCCACGAGGCGCATGCATATGGGACCACGACGGGCGCGAACGAGCGGGGCCACGAAGGGCTGCAACGGGGCCACGAAGGGCAGCGAGGGGGCCACGAAGGGCAGCGAGGGGGCCACGAAGGGCTGCAACGGGTCCACGAAGGGCAGCGAGGGTGGCCACAAAGGGCTGCAACGGGGCCACGAAGGGCAGCGAGGGTGGCCACAAAGGGCTGCAACGGGGCCACGAATGGCACCGATATCCCGACTCCTACGTAATCTGTGAAGGAGTCCTAAGCGTGAGCGCGAATCCTCGGCGCTTGAGTGTCGGGGGCGCCACGATTGTGTACAGTGGAGGAACGCAAGGGCGCTATTCTTAAGCGAATTGCAACCAAGTCTCTAGCGAGAGCGCGACTCCAGAGCGCCGAGAGTGCGACTCCATAATAAATTGTAGGGAAATCCCAAGCGAGAGCGCGATTCCTGCCAAAAAAAAATGCGAGGAAGTTACAGGCGGGAGCGGGGGTCCTGGCAAAATGGTGAACAAGTCTCAGGCGGG